GCAGCATCCCCTGCACCAGCATATCATGGGACACGCGCTAGATAAATGATCAGCCTTCAGGACACGTTGGCCGGAAAAATGTCTGGGGTGAAACAGGCCCTGCCTGGAGTTTCTCCTGTTGTGTTTCCCTTCTCTAGACCATCCCCAAACCCAACTGATCCTGCCTGTGACAAGGAAGCAAACAGCCCAAGGCTCTGAAGATGCAGTGTGATGGCACTGACACAGTGATGTCAGGCCAGACCCTGGGGCCTGGCAGCTGTGTGTCCTGTTGCTGCTGCTGGCCAACCCCTGGCTGACCACGAGCAGGCTTGCTTTGCCGAGTGCAAGCGCACATGGGAAAGGGCAGGCTGCCTCCCTGATGGCCCTGGTGACAGCAGGGGTCCCTCTCTTGTCTCCATGCAATGCAGGGGCTGGCACCTGCTACCCTCCTCCTGGAATTCAGCACTCCAAGTTGGTGAGGACGTGGGGCAGGTAAGGGCCACAGGAACCCAAAATGTGAGCCATTTCACTTGCCCCTCCTTCCGTCTTAGGGGCATCAATCACTGCTTCCCTCTCCAGCAGTACCTAGCAGTCCCTGTCAGGGTGCAAGCAGGGCCAGGCCTCCACCCCTCGATGACCTGATGTATACCCTTGGAGAGGCGTCTTCCTGGGACCGGACTTCAGGCTTTATCCCTGACACTGGTGGCGTGTGAATGACTAAAATGGCCAAAAATAAAAGCCCCCATAAATCTGCTATTTTCCTATAAGCTGTCGGGTACACAGAGTGTGCTGGGATTATTGATAGAAAAGTTTATGGATGGGCTGCATCTTAAAATCAAAATACATTACCCAAAATCAATGTTGCCGTACATGGTACAGGGAGGACAGGAAAGGTCAGTCGAGACAAGAATACTGAAACCCCAACTCCAAGAGGACCTGAGCATTAAAATAAATAAATTTTGAAAGTGAGTTCCAGGAAAAACGCTCACTTAGGGCTGTAATTTAAGGGTGCTTTCACAAGAGGCTGGGCAGTCTTTTTAAATAGCGTTTTTTAAAGTGCCTCTGAGAGTCCAGTGAATCCATCCACAAAATGGTATTGACAAGCACCCCAGCTCGCAGCCCTATAATAACAGCTCATAATAGGTAATGAGTGAGAGCTCCGAGGCTGGGCACACAGTAGCCAGGCCCTGGCAGAAGCAAGCCCCCCGGGCACAGCCAACTGGGCAGGGCAGCCAACCCATGGCCCCATCAACCACATTTCAAGAGGATCCGCCTCCAGGTCCCTGTGCACAGCGACTCCACAGGCATTTTATAGCTGTGGGTGGAGGGAGGGGAAAACCGTGTTAGTTCTCATTGATGACTAATCAGGACTAGAAACAAAATGATCATGAAATGCTCTCAAGTCCATCGCTTCACATAACCACGATTCACTGCAAACAGGTCATCTTTTTTAGGAGCCCGAGAGATAACACAGTAGGTAGAGCTGAATGGCTGTGTCCCCAGAGCTTAGTGTCCCTTTGGGAGAAGTGACCCGCATGCTCCATCCCAGCCACCTTCTTTAGAGTCTCCAACTGACAGAACACATCCCACCAGGATATAGTAAGAAGGAACTGGCTCCCCTGCTGGGAGCGGGAAGCCAGGCTTGGCAGAGACTGGCAGGGAAGGAACCCAGTGCCTTCTGAATGGCAGGAGCTGCAGTCTGGTCTTAGCTCACTAATCCTCCAGCTAGCCAAAGGGCTAAGTCGAAGAGACAAAAGTCCCTGCCCTGCCCATGGAAAACCACAGCAAAGGGGAGGCAAGTCCTCTTCCCCAATGCTCCCAGCAGGGTTTCCAGTCCGAACATTTACTAGGCTCTAACTACGGGTCAGGCCCAGCTGGCAGTTAAAGACACAGAGAAAGCCAGAGTGGTGACTCACTCCTATAATCCTAGGGCTTTGGGAGGCAGAGGCAGGAGGACTGTTTGAGGCCAGGAGTTTGAGACCAGCCTGCACAACACAGCAAGACCCCATCTCTACAAAAAAATATTAAAAATAAAAAATTAGCTGGGTGTGGTGGTGCATGCCTGTAGTCCTAGCTACTTAGAAGGCTGAGACAGGAAGATGGCTTGAGCCCAGGGGTTCAAGACCAACCTGGGCAACATAGCAAGACCTCACCTCTACAAAAAGTTTAAACATAAAATTAGCCAAGTGTGGTGGTGCATGCCTGTAGTCCTAGCTACATGGAAGGCTGAGGCAGAAGGATCGCTTGAGCCCAGGGGTTCAAGACCAGCCCAGGCAACATAGCAACATCCCATCTCTACAAAAAAAAATACATAAATTAGCAACGCATGGTGGGCTAATCCTCCTCGTGTCAGCATGATTACTCTGGAGACTGAGGGGCTTGAGCTCAGGATGTTGAGGTTCAGTGAGCTAAGATCGTGCCACTGCACTCCAGTCTGGACAACAGAACAAGACCCTGTGGGGGAAAAAAAAAAAAACAGCGAAGGTGGGTCAGCTGCTGTCATCACAGTCTACAAGGCAAGGCAGAAAACAAATAGACAAAGCTGAACAGATAGGAAAGAGATTACAAGTGTAGCTCAGGCTACTCCTTGCTCCCATCAGCCAAGGGCAGGGCCTTGCTCTTCACACCAACTCAAGGAATCAGGACACAGTCTTACCTGGAGCAGGGAAGAGCTTAGTGTTTTGGTTCATATCTGGGACCCCAGAGTAAGACAGACTTTGGGTTGATGCGTCACTCAGCCACTTACGAACTATGTGACCTTGGGCAAGTTCGTAAGCTTCTGAGTTTCATCCATAAAATGGGGTCAAATCACAATGTCTACCCCTGGAGTTGTAATTGAGATAAAATGAGCTCATTCCTTCATTCCATAAGTACTTACTGAGCTCCTACTCTGTGCCAGACCCTGTTCTAGGTGCTAGAGATATTTCAGTGAACAAGGCTGGCAGAGTCTTAGAGACCTTCAACAAGGAACTCAATAAATAAGGATGTGGTCCCATGTGTTGGAAGATGGCTGGTGAAATGGAAAAAATAAAGGAAGCAGAGTGAGGGCCTGGGAGTGCCGGGTGGTGGGAGGAGAGGCGGTGTAGACTGCAGTGTAAAACATGGTGGTCCAGGCGGGCTTCATGGAGAAGGTGACTGCTTGACAAAAACCAGAGCACAATGGAGTTAGCCAAGCAGGTATCTGTGGGAGAAGCATGTCAGCCAGATGGCACGGCTGGTGCAAGGGCCCTGGGGTAGAAGCATGCCCAGCGTGCCACATTGTAGGAAGGAGAATAGTGTGGCTAGGGGAGTGTGAACTATGGAGAAGACAGAAAAGATGAGGAGATGAAGGAAGGGGGTGAGCAGGAAGCAGAAAAGCAGATGGTTTGACCTTGGTAGCCACTGCAAGGCCACTGATGTTTATGCCAAGTGAAATGGGAGCCACTGCGGGGTTTCAGCAGTGGAAGAGAGATCTGATTTCTCTGTGAGAAGGATCTCTTTGTCATGTTGAGAACTGATGCCTGGCAAGTGTCTAGTACATGGAAAGCATGTGAAAACATGTATCTGTCGCTCTTAGGGCAATACCAACTCATGCAGTGGGCAAGAAACACCCAACCCCACATGGTGGTACAGGGATAAATTACTTCCAGATAATTCCCTCTAGCTACAGGGATTCTCCCACGGGCATCGCTGATCTCTAGCATTAGCCTCTGCTTGGATCTGGCATCAGGAAAGGAGACTGCTGCCTCTCCAGGTAGGCTACTGCACAGTGGGCTAGCTCTTCCTTCAGAACCCTGCTTGGAATCAGTCCCCAAGTGAGCCTGCTTTCCTGGAACCCCACCATGGTCCTGAATCTGCATAGCGCGGTGCAAGTCTGCCCTCTCCCTTCAGAAGCTGAGGACAGCAATGGGACCTGGCAGGGTCTTACATTTGGGGGTCCAAAGTGGTTTCTAAGGGCACATGGGATTTCCTAGGAAAAGCTCCTGCCATGACAGAAGGAACTGGCAACTGACTCTGTGGAGCCCCTAGTGAGGAACTTGAGGGAAAGGAGGGAAGTCCTACAGGACCCCCTTTTTCCCTCTGCCCCCAGCAGAAGACCTTAGAAAACAAGGGCTTGATAGATGAGCCACAGTGAGCCAGCGGGTGGGAGTGACTCCTGGGCCATAGACGAGGAAACTGAAAGGCAGGCACTGGAGGCATGAAGGGCTGGCCCGGGGCACCCGCTAGCGAGGACAGCCTTGGAGGGGGCCAGCAGCTCCTCCCCTCTGAGCTCTGCTGTGCTGGCCGCCTGCACCACTGTGGCTGCTGGAAAGTGTTTTCCCTCTGGGTTTCCTTCTTGGCTCCCGGGGAATCCTCTGGCGGTGCCTCCGGGAGGCTGGTAGCCGGGGAATCAGGCACATGAATCCACCGGACTGCCCCACCCCACCCTGAAGTCAGAGCTAAGGCATAGGGGCCGGGGTAGGGGCAGAGGTGCCGAAATGCACTAGCTGGGGACTCCCGGGGGAAGGAGAGAGAAGAGACCCAAGGCAAGCCTTAGGACTCGCCTCTATGACTATGACTACGCGCTGCGTCCGAACCACATGTCCACCCCGCGTTTCCCTTCGGGGACCAGACCACGCTCCCTCAGATGGCTGGGGAGGGGGCAGGCTTCGGGTGAAGGCTGGGGGAGGTACCGGGATGCCGGGTGCGCCAGAGCAGGCGGGGGATGGGTTCCGGTCTCCTGGCGCCTCGGTATCTCGCTTTGCACCGGGTGAAGAAGGGGCCACGACCGGCGAAGAGCGGGTGGAGACGCAGGCAACCGCGATCCAGGGGCAGGAACCCCGCCCCCGCCCGGAAACCTCCCGGGCCCTGAGTCGTGCCCGGCTCTCCCCACCCCACCCCCGCCGCCCCTGCCGTCACTCACTGCCGCTGCCGGCTAGCTCGCGGGTGCGCTCTCCGCGCCACAGGCACCTGCTCGCTGGGCGCTGTGCGCTCACTTCTCCCTCGCGCACTGCAGACTCCCGGCGCTGCCGCCGCCACCCAGCCTAGTCTCAGGCTGGGCACAGCGTTCCGCCCTTCTCGCGGCCCCGGGCGCCCACCCACCCGCCATGGCCCAGGCCTGGGCCAAACAGCGGGGCAGCTGGTTGCCCAAACTGGGGTAAGGAGTTGAGGGCTGGGAGCTGCGGAGAGAACCGCGGGACACACGGGGAGCAGGGATGAGCGGCCGTCTCGAGCGGTGGAGACTGGGAAGAAGCCTGGGAGAGTTTAGGTGGGAGGACTCCCAACCCAAGCGGGTGCGGGGTGGGGCTGTACTTCAACCAGAAAGACGGTGGTCCCTCCGAGCGACCCCCGAGGAGAGAGGGGGCACGCTCTGGGGCGGGGGCGGGGCGGGCTGTGGCAGGAGAGGGGAGGGTGGGGGCGATGCAGCGGCGGAGGAGGCTTGGCGCCTAGCCACTGACCGCCCCCTCCCTTCCCCTCCCCTCCCCCTCTCCCCGCCTCTCTCCGGCTCCGGGTCCGCCACGCCGGACCCGCTCTCCCCGCGCTGCGCTGGGTCGGACGCCAGGTCTGCGCGCCGCGGCTGAGCGCCCACTCGCCCTGCGGAAAGAGCCGCGGAGGAACCGGCGGGGGCGGCGGCGGGAGCCGAAGGAGGTGGCAGTCGGGAGCAGAACCAGAAGGAGACAGGGAGGCAGAAGCTCGCGGTTCCGTGGCGCGCACTCCCTCGGCCAGGGATGGGTCCCGGCGCGGCCCAGCCCCTGCCCGGCCCGCGGGGCAGAGACTGAACCGCGGATCCCCACCGTCCTGTGGACGACTGGACAGAGAGAGGCACTGACCGATCACCAGCAGCCACCCGGTGGGACCGCGTCTCCCGCACACCCCGCGCAGCGCCCCCCGCCGGAGCTGCGCCGGGCAAGCCGGCGAGGGAGCGGGGCTGATTGGCGGCCGCCGGCGGCCAGGGGAGGGGGCGCCGCGCGGGGCCATGGCAGGCTCGGAGGCGTCCTAGCCCGAGCCGGAGCCGATCCGAGCCCACGCGGCCGCCGCCTCTACGCTCCCGGGCCCCCGCCGCCACCGCGTCCCCCGCGGGAGATGGAACAGCGGAACCGGCTCGGTGCCCTCGGATACCTGCCGCCTCTGCTGCTGCATGCCCTGCTGCTCTTCGTGGCCGACGGTGAGCGCGGGAACTTTGCTGCCGCGGTGGGCTCGGGGGGTTCTTTGCTGGGGCCGCCACCGAGAAGAAGGAGAAAGAGAACGAACGGGGAAGCTTCGCGGTCTCCAGCAATCCCGCTGTGCAGCCCGGGCTCGGAGGGGTAGGGGTAGGCGAGCAGCGAAGGGTCGCCGCAGCAGCAGCGCCGCGCCCGAGTCGTTACTAGTCCCGCCGGGTCCCCGGCTGCGGAAAGGAGGCCTGTGGGGTGCGGGAGCTGGCGCGCCCCAGTCAGGCTCTGGCGGTGCGGCCAGGCGCGGGGGAGAAGCACGAGCCGCCCCTGCCGCCCCGCCCCATCCGGAGGGAAGCAGCAGGCAGCGGGTGACCGGTCCCTGCCGCGGCCCTGCAGCCTCTTCCCCGAACTTTGCTAGCCTCTCCGGCGGTGTGCCACGGAGCAGCTGCGGGGTGGGGGGCACAAGGCCAGCGAGCCAGAGACCGACCGCCTCGCTTTAGGTTGCCCCAGGCCCCCGCCCTACAGCTGGTCACGCCTCTCTCTCTCCCCACCCCCAGCTACATTCACAGAAGTCCCCAAAGATGTGACAGTACGGGAGGGAGACGACATCGAAATGCCCTGCGCATTCCGGGCCAGCGGAGCCACCTCGTATTCGCTGGAGATTCAGTGGTGGTACCTCAAGGAGCCACCCCGGGAGCTGCTGCACGAGCTGGCGCTCAGCGTGCCGGGCGCCCGGAGCAAGGTAACCCGCCGCCCACGCGGTACCGGCGCGCGCTCGGCTCGCGCCCGGGGCGGCGAGGGCTAACCCGGGGAGGGAAGCAGCCGGCTTCGCTAGCGCAGGGCGCCGCCCTGTGGCGCAGCCCATCTTCCACCTTCGCATCTCAAAGCATCTTCAAAGTCAGCAGTGGTTACCCCCAAACCTGTCAATTATTTTGACAGCATCGCTGTTCCCGCCACGTCCCGGAACTCCATTCACGCCCAGCCCCTAAAAAGCCACACCTCAGCCAGGTCGCTTGCTCGTGCTTGCTGACTGCAGCCCTCTGATGGCTGGTGGGTGGTGAAGGAAGCCCCCTTGGTCCCATCAGGCTCTCCCCGCCCTCTGCCACTTTGAGGACCCCAGGGCTCCCCGCGGCTGCGTTCCTGAGGCCAGCAGAAAACCGAGTACCGGGAAGCCGGCAGGACCTCCAGCCCTCAGGGGAACCGAGGGGCGACTTCCCTGTAGCCGAAAACAGGCCCAAGCTGCCTGTCTGCCTCAAAACCCACACTCTCTTACACACTCTAGTGTGCACGCGTGCACACATACACCTACATTATCCCAGGGTTACTGCCACTGAGCCTCCCGCTGGGTACCATACAGACACAGGCCCCTCCCTCCAGTTATTCACGACTCCCAATGAGCTGGGGGAGGATTTTGAGCCACGGGACAGGGCCTAAGGATGCCCAGAGGGAAGGAGAGGGGCTTTCCTTCCCACCCTGGTGTCCATCCAGTCTCCCCAGTTCAGCCAGCAGGTGTACACCAGGGCAGCCACCCGTTGGTCAGGCACCATGCTAGCTCCAAAGCCCGCTTCCTCCTGGGAAACTCCTGGAAAGCCTGGAAAGTCCTTTGTGCCCTCCTGGAAAGTCCTTTGTGCCCTCCTGGAAAGTCCTTTGTGCCCTCAACCCCCAGCGCCCGGGCGGTTTCGGTCCTAGCCTGCCGGAGGAGGGTGCCCTTGCCTAAAGGCGGATCCGAGTTCCCCCAGCCAGAAGGCCGCGAGCCTCATGTCTCTCTCTCTCTCCCTCTTTGCATTTTAGGTAACAAATAAGGATGCAACTAAAATCAGCGTAAGTGTGGAGCCCAGCGCGGGCCGCGGGAGACCCCTTCTGGCCGCCTCGCATCCCGCAGCTCCCTCCCCTTAGCAAGCCGCGGCGGCCGCGCATGTGGGGCCGCGCAAGTAGGGCCGCGATCGCAGCCTTGCATTGGTGGCTGCTTGGCTTGTCCCGGCGCCATCTGTCGCCGGTTGCAGGGTCGGGTTCTCTTTTGTGTAAATCAAGGGTCCAAGGCTTGAGTCCCCTAATTCGGCTTGGCGCTCACCTGTAAAACTCCCTTTGGTCAGGACCGCGCGCTTAGGCCCTCTCGCGCCTGCTCGCCTCCGCTCTGCGGGCATTCCTCCCAGCACCGGGAGCGCGCGGCTGCTCGCCCTCCCCGCGACCGTGGCGCCAGCTTCCCGCCCCCTCCGCCCCGCCCTGAGCATCCGCTCTGCGCCCTCCGCTGCAACCCTTTATCTTCCGCCTGGATTGCGGGTTTGGGTGCGGGGTGTTGCAGGCTTGCGGGGGGCAAGGTAGGGAGTGGTCGTGCCAGGCTGCGAGGGGCCCGGGTCATGGGCTTGGTAACTCTGGGAGGAGACGCGCCCAAGCTTCCCAGCTGGAGCGTAGAAGGGCCTGGAGATGACGAAGCCTTCTCGTGGGCTCGGTTCAGTGGTGAGGGCTCCCTGGGTGTTTGGTGAGAGTCATAGAGCAGTTCCTTCCCGAAGTCCCCACCAGGGCGCAGGGGAGGAGCACTTCGCTGGGGCGCTTCTGGAGATCCCGCGGAAAGGCGGGTTGGTAGCAGGTGGCCAGGGAGCCGGGCAGCAGCCACAGCGTTGCTTGCCTCCTTGGGAGAGGAGTGTTAGCTGTGAAGGGCGGGGTCCGGTGACAGGGTGGCTTTCCTTAGGACGCGATTCAGGCAGGCCTTCCTTGCGCCGGGAGGTGTGGAGGGCCGGCTGGGGCGGGACTGTGGGTTGGCGCGCGTCGCAGCGGGAAAGACGTGGGGCAGTCCAGCCTGGGGTTTCTGCGCACTCCAGAACTGGGAGTCCAGCCTGGGGTTTCCTGAAGGTGCAGGAGGGAGGAAGGAGAGGTGGGCTCTGCCCTTCTGAAGGGTCAGCTACCGGAAGACAAGCAGGGTTGGTTTGTGTGGGCGGGGCAGATGCAAGGTGGGCGTTTGGTTAACTTGATGGGGGCGTGGGGACAGAGTCCAAAGAGCTGGCTGCCCGGCGTCCACGCAGAGTTGGAAGCCCTATGCCACAGGGTAGACGCGGGTGAAAGGGAAGCCAGATCATGATGGTGGGCAAACCGGGATCCGGAAAGTGTTGGGGTGCGCGCACAAGGGGGCGCGACGGCCAGGGCGGCCAGAAGAGCAGGTTTGGGAGCTGCCCAGCCCGGCCTCTAACCCTGCTCTCTTGCAGACCGTGCGCGTCCAGGGCAATGACATCTCACACCGGCTTCGGTTGTCGGCCGTGCGACTGCAAGACGAGGGCGTGTACGAATGCCGCGTGTCGGACTACAGCGACGACGACACGCAGGAGCACAAGGCCCAGGCGCTGCTGCGCGTGCTCTCGCGCTTCGCGCCGCCCAACATGCAGGCCGCCGAGGCTGTGTCCCACATCCAGAGCAGCGGCCCGCGTCGCCACAGCCCCGCCAGCGCCGCCAACGCCAACAACGCGGGCCCCGCGGGCCGCACCACCTCCGAGCCCGTCCGCGGCGACAAGAGCCCGCCGCCCGGGAGCCCTCCAGCCGCCATCGATCCCGCAGTCCCCGAGGCCGCGGCAGCCTCCGCGGCCCACACGGCCACCACCACCGTCGCGGCAGCTGCTGCTGCTTCGTCAGCGTCGCCGCCATCGGGACAGGCGGTCCTGCTGCGCCAGAGGCACGGCTCGGGTAAGGGCGCGCGGAGAGGGGGCACACGCGCGGTGATGGCGCAGGGCAGGGGCTGCGCGGGGACGACCAGGGGAACTCCGGACCCAGGACCCGCCCCCTTGGCTCATTTGTATATGGATACTTCTTCCTAGTTAGATCGGGAGCGCCCTCCCCTAGGGACTTCTTCCCGCCGTTTCTCTGTCTTTACTCCTGGCCTCTGGAAGCATTTATGATGTGCATTTATGAACGGGGGAGGGGGCTGCCCTGCCAGCGACTTCAGGGTACGCTGGAGGCTGTAGTGTGGGGAGGCGACCTCTTTTGGGTTTGGAGAACTGGACCCTGAGGGCTGAGCTCCGATGGTGGCAAGGGGCCAGCACTCTGCCAGCACCGATGGTGGAAATAAGCTATCCCCGGGTGGGGGCACTGGCACCTGCTGGAGAGCGGGAGGCGGTTAAAACTTGGGTTGTGTTAGTTTCTATTCTGTGTGCTCGACTGAACAGACTTTGTCCAAGGGCGTGGAGGGGCCTGGCTGTGTAACTTACGCTCTCTTTGGCTAAATGCAGGATGGCCCTAGGCACCAGCTCTGCACTTTACCGTAAATCGCAGCTCCCCTTCCTTTGGCTTTGGGGTGGGGACAGTAAGGACTGAGCCCTAAGCCACTGTTAGGAAGGCACCCAGAGGGGAAGGCTTGCTTTCTTAGGGAGCTGAGAGGCTGGAAGAAGGGACTGGGGATGGGGGTGGGATGTGGGAAGGCAGGAGGAGGAGAAAGTGATGGCTTGACTACCCCCTGGTAGGCAGCTCTGGAGCGGTAGGAGCCATTGGCAGAGGCGGGGGTGGGGGTGGTGGGGGGTGGTTATGGAGGGTAGAAAGGCTTGTCCAGTGTGCCCCTCCTCCCAAGGCATCCCCCACTCTCTCCCCCTGCTCCAAGCTGGGCCTCAGAGCCCACCTCAGTGCCTGACTGTGAGCAGGTTGCTGCCTCCCTCAGCCCCTCTCCTCAGTCTTGTTTGATGCAGAGTCCCACAGGAAGCATCTCTCCTGGCCACACAGCCCTGGGAGCCTGACTTTGGGGACAGGTGCATGTGAAACCTGCCAGATGTGACGGAACACATTGTCACAACCCTACAATGGCAGTTCTCAAAGGGTGGTCTACCTACAGTCTCCTGGACTACCTGCAGAATCCGCGGGGCCGGGTCTTCATGTCCTTCATGTCACCATCTCATCCTGCCTCCCTAGCTAACTCTCAAGCCCTCCAACAGTTGACCCTGCAGTCTGCCTGGCACATCAGTTCAGTTCTGTTTCTCATTCAGCTCTACCTACTGTGGCAGCCTCCTCAGTGCGTCTCAGGCTATTGGCTTGATCCAAAGGCCTCATCCCTCTTGGATGCTACACAGGGCCCCACAAGACTGTCCCTCAGCCTATTGGGGAAGTAGGGACCTGCAGAGGGCCTCCACAGCCCAGCTGGGAACTTTCCACCCTCTGCACTAAGATATCACTGATGCTGTGACAAATAAACCCCAAAAGGCCAGTGGCTTGACACAATTCAAATGTAATATTCCTCGTTCATATCACATCCTGCCCTGGAGTGCCCTGGGGCATGTGGTGGCTCTGTTCCATGCAGTCATTCAAGGACCCAGGCTGAGACTACCAGCCTCAGCAAGAGGCTTCCAAAGTCACTCTGGGTATGACATAGAGCCAGCAGACCAGGGAGGAGAGACAGAAGCAGCGCTTGTCACCTCACTGCCCTAAGAGAATGAAGCCCTAATGCTCTCAGGCATGCGTTGTGTATAATGAATCAACTTGTTTCATATGCATTTAGGACCACTCTAAGTATGTATCGTTCTTGGGAGATTGAGAAAATAGCCACTCAAATCATTCTGGCAGCACTTAACTCTCTCAGAGAAAAGCTGGTTTGGAAAAATGGCAAGGTGTTTTTTAAGGGCCAGGTCTAGAAGTGATAAATATTACTTCTACCCTCTTCCATCGGCCAGAACTCAGTCACATGGTCCAACACAGATGTACCGCCTGCTGGGAAATGTAGTTCTTGGCGTGGCGGCTGCTTTCGGGCCTCATCTCTTCACTGTGCAAGGGGAGCATGACTCCTTGAGGAGTTAGCCGTCTCTGTTCAGCATACAGGCAGTGCTCAGGGACAGTGCCTATTGACTTATAGAGCCATTGGCTTAACTGATGCTGGTTGGTGAAGAGAACATCCTTCTTCCCCCTCCCCTTGGGCCCTAGCAAGGAAATGTGTGCATTACAGGCTGGGACGTACCTCTAGGATATTCCCGGAGGATTTGAAAGGCAGAAGTCCAGATGTGCGTTGTGTCTCCACCACTTACTGGCTGTGTGATTTTGGGCAAGTGGCTTACCACCTCTGAGTCATCTGTAAAATGAACAGGATAATCTCTCTGACCTCAGAGGGAGCTTGGTATGGAAACTGCAGCACATATATGTTCATTATTATCACCCTGGTCATTAGCTGCACTAGTGGAGAGGTGGGGATGGGCAGATAAAGCTAAAAGGTTGGCAGTTGGAAGCCAGGCTATGGAGGGCCTTGAATGCCAAGTAGAACCGGCCATTGGTTAAAGACTTTGGTCAAGACCATGTGAAAGAGATCTTTGAGAGTGAACTTGGTTGTGCTCACAAAATGGTAATGAGACCAAAGTCAAGAGCACACTCCTGCTTGACTCTCCCTCTTCCCCTGGCCTTCAGCCTGAGTCGCAGGCCCAGCCACAGATGATCTGACTGCCTGCCATAGCTAGTCCGATCTCCAGTCTCTGTGCTGGCCATGAAGGCTGAATGAGAGAGTGAAGATGCTCCAGGACATCTCATCCAGAGAAGGTGGGCTGGACAGCAGATATGGAGGTCCTCAGGTCAGCTCGATGCTGATGGCACAGTGCCCAGCGCCATCTCAGCAGATAGGGCCTTGGGCATCCACCAGCCACAGGGCCATATGTTAATGCCCATGTGGGTCACTCTGCCTTCTCTGCAGGGGCTGGTGTCCACAGCCATCCAGAAAGCACAGCTTGCCTGGCTCCCAGCGGGCCTGACAGCAGTGCTCCTGGGATAGAAGTACAGTGGCCTCTGAGGTCTCCGTCACCCCCTAAACCTTGCCAGCTCCTGAACAGGCCAGGAACTGTGTAGACACATCTCAGAAAGAACCTCCAGTCTCTCTCCAAGCCTCCTTTGGGGTGGCCAGAAGGTGGGCCTTCAGCTGGGAGGTCAGAAAACCTATATCCCCCACTCTCCAGGTGAATCTCTTATGAGAGTCGTTCTGCTGCAGGCACTCTGTGTCCCACTCTGGGCATGGAAAAGTGGATGGCAATACCTGTCATTCACGAACACACCCGAACAGCCTTGATGCCAAGGAGGGAGCCATGCTCAGGCTTGTGTCCCACCTCGCCCCAATCACCCAAGGCCACCCAAGCTGTGTGCTGTCAATGTGAAGCCTGCAGACTGTGTTTTGGAGGATGGGTATTAGTAATCTTTCTATAGGGCTGCATCACCAGCCAGTGCCCTGAGCTCGGCTGCTGGCACCAGGTCCTGCTGAGCGCCCTGAGAGGCAACAAGCCAGCCGCTTTGCTCAGAACCACAGCAGCCTGAGCTGCAGAGGGAGCTCGGGGCAGACGACCTTGCGCCTGGCCTCCCAGTCTTGCAATTCTAAGCAGCTTGATAAGGAGCAGTCCAAAAAGGACCACTGCCTCTTGGTTAATAGTCTAGAGTGTTTGCAGAGGGTATCAACCAGGGTGCTGGCAGAGGCACATGGTACATTCAAACAGGGTCACTGGGGGGAATGGAAAGAGCATATGTATCAAGGTGTGGACAGGGTTAGGGCAGCCAGCAAAGGATGGGTGCAGGTGCCCAGGGCTGGCATCAGTGGGAGCCATCAGAAGACCTAGCCAGGATGGGGGCTGCTGGTGGCACACAGAGAGTAAGAGGGGAGGCACAGAGCCAACCCACAGTCACCCAGCAAGGATCTCACTCTCCTCCCGCCCTTCATTCCCTGTCCGGGCCTCCCATTGGCCAAACCCTTCTGGAATCTGAGGGCCGGGGCACCCAGGTGGCGCAAGCTATAGAGGTCAGCCCTCAGGGGCTCACAGCAGAGTTGAGAAAGGTGGGCTGAGGACCTGGGGGCACTGAAGAGACTCAGGGCCAGGCACAGTGGCTCATGTGCTGGGTGCAGTGGCTCACACCTGTAATCCCAGCACTTCGGAAGGCCAAGGCAGGTGGATCACCTGAGGACAGAAGTTTGAGACCAGCCTGGCCAACATGACGAGACCCCGTCTCTACTAAAAACACAAAAAATTAGTTGGGTGTGGTGGCAGGCACCTGTAATCCCAGATACTTGGGAGACTGAGGCAGAATAATGACTTGAACCCGGGAGGTGGAGGTTGAAGGGAGCTGAAATCACGCCATTGCACTCCAGCGAAACTTTGTCTCAGAAAAAGAAGGAAGGAAGGAAGGAAGGAAGGAAGGAAGGAAGGAAGGAAGGAAGGAAGGAAGGAAGGAAGGAAGGAAGGAGGGAGGGAGGGAGGGAGGGAGGGAGGGAGGGAGGGAGGGAGAGAGGGAAGGAAAGAAGGAAGGAAGGAAGGAAAGAAGGAGGGAGGGAGGGAAGGAGAGAGGGAAGGAAAGAAGGAAGGAAGGAAGGAAAGAAGGAGGGAGGGAGGGAAGGAAAGAAGGAAGGAAGGAAGGAGGTAGGGAGGAAGGGAGGGAGGGAGGGAGGGAGGGAGGGAGGGAAGAAGGAAGGAAGGAAGGAAGGAAGGAAGGAAGGAAGGAAGGAAGGAAGGAAGGAAGGAAGGAAGGAAGGAAGGAAAAAGAGGCTCAGGACACTGGCCGTTTCAGATTGGCGACTGCAGAGGCGGTCCCAGCACATCTCCCCAAATCATCCCCCATTAAGCGATGGTTCCTGGAAGGAAGTCAGAAAAAAAGTCCCTATTTTTTACATAAGCCACTTTGGTAATGCCAGGAAGGAGAGAGGGGAGGACTTCCTCCAGCCCTCATCCATTAGCTACTGCACAGCCAGG